TTGATTTCTTTAATCACAATAATGTTCATATTTCCAAGTACTTATTGACAATTTGCATATCTTCCTTGTAGACATATGTATTTAAATCCTTTGTCCATTTTAAAAACTTGATTGTCTATTATTGACTTTTAAGCATTTCATCTTTATTCTGAAATATACCCCTCACACAGATAAATAAGTAAAAAAATTTTTACATTAATTGACTTGTCTTTTTATTTTCTTTATGACCTCATTTGAAAAACATAAGTGTCAAAATGTTATCAAATGCAGTTTATCTTTTTATTTCCTTCTCTAGAATGTGATTTTGGTGTAATTTCTAAGAAATTGTTACCTAGCTTATAATTACAAATATTTACTCCATTATTTCTCTATGTTTTATAATTTTATCTCCTACAAACAATAAGAGATCTACTTTGAAGACTTTTGTGAATGGGTCTGATTTGAGTGAGGGGTTCAACTTTATCTTTCTGCAAGTGTATACAATTTTCTCAGCACCATTGCTGAAAAAGCTGTCTGTACAAAAGACAGTGGGTTTTTTTGTGTGTGTGTGTGTGTGTTTGTGTTTCTGAAAAAAAAATAGCTAGTCTTTGCCATGCAGTATTTCTCCCTTATGTGAGTTCTCTGATGTCTGCTTAGATGTGACTTCTTTTTTTTTTTTTTCCTTTCTGTCTTTTTCCGTGTCTGGCAATGGATCGCAACCCTCAGTGTTGCCCCCATACCGGACCAGGACCGGCAACGGGATCGCACCCCTCGGTGTTGCTCCCGTGCCTCGCTCAGCCAGTGAGCTGGAACTGGTCTGTATGTGGGATCTGAACCCTCGGTGGGAGCGCCACCATACTCCTAAGTGGCACACTACAGCAGTGCGCCACCGGGCCGGCCCCTTAGATGTGACTTCTAACAAAAGATGTTCTACATTCATTACAAGCAGCCTTCCATACCCACAAGATTCACATTCATGGATTCAACCAACTATAGGTCAAAAATATTTGAAAAAAAGAAAGTATGGCAATACAAAATATACCAAAAAACCCACCACTACTTATATTGTTTTTAATGTATTCAATAATATAAGTAATCGAGACAGAATGTAAAATTGTAGAGCAGAATGTTACACAATAGCTCAAAACTTCATATAAGACTTGAGCATCCACAGATTTTGGTATCTATGGAAAGTTTTGAAACCAATCCCCTGTGGATATGAATGAACAGCTGTACATTCATGGGTTTTCTCTTTTACATGAGTTCTCTGATGAATCCTGAAGTGTGCTCATGACTAGTAAGGTTTGATTTCTGGTAGGAAGATTTCCTACGTTCATTACATTCATATGGTTTCCCAACTGTGTGAGTTCTTTGATGTACACTGAGGTCTGCTTTACTGTAGAAAGGCTTCCTATATTCTTTACATTCATCTGGATTCTCACATGTATAAATTCTCTAATGCTTGCTGAGGTTTGACTTCTGGTGAAAAGGTTTTCCACATTCACTACATTGATATGGTTTCTCACCTGTGTGAATTCTCTGATGAATGCTTAAGATTGACTTACGTTTGAAGGTTTTTTTCACACTCATTGTATTCATAGGGCCTTTTCTATGTGTGACTTTTCTTATGTTTATTGAGATCCAAGTTATGGTAGAAAGATTTTGTACATTATTTATACTCATATGGTGTCTCACCTATGTGTGTTCTGCGATGTACATTGAAGTCTGCTGTACTTCAGAAAATTTTTGAACATTCTTTTCATTCATATGGTTTCTTACCTGTGTGAATTCTCTGATGTCTGGTGAGGTTTGACTTCCTGTGAAAGGTTTTCCCGCACTGACTACATTCATATGGTTTCTCACCTGTGTGAGTTTCCTGATGTACACTGAGGCATGATTTGCTGGAGTAAGTTTTTCTACATTCTTTACATTCATATGGTTTCTCACCTGTTTGAACTCTCTGATGCTTGCTGAGGTTTGACTTCTCATGAAAGGTTTTCCCACATTCACTACATTGATATGGTTTCTCACCTGTGTGAATTCTCTGATGCCTGCTGAGGTGTGACTTCCTGTGAAAGGTTTTCCCACATTCACTACATTTGTATGGTTTCTCACCTGTGTGAATTCTCTGATGCCTGCTGAGGAAGTGACTTCTCATGAAAGGTTTTCCCACATTCACTACATTTGTATGGTTTCTCACCTGTGTGAATTCTCTG